GGTGCAAACATATGGAAGGAGTCTGTTCCAGACTCCAGTTGTCTTTTGCCGAAGCTCAGACTCTGGCACATGATCGGGAACACTGGAAACTCTGTCTGACGGGTCTGCCTCCGTGACCCAAAGGGAGAAGCGGTAATGAAAAATGAATGAATGATCTCAGGTAAATTACCCCCGTTGGTTTCATACATCGCTTTAACGTGCTGAAAAATCTTTCACAAAAATGAATTATTCAGCAGGTGTCTGAGAGCGATGCTTTGAACGCCGCTAGCGGCAGAATGAACGATCATATGGAGTTTCACTGTCTCTTTTCAAAGCTGTGAAATGCGGTGTCGATCAGTAGCCACTGATTTCGCAGTATCAGGGCTTTGAAACGTCCGTGACTCAGCGCAAAATCAGCAACCATATTTCCATCGTTGTTTTCCCATTTTAATATGCAATTATTCGCGCTTATCATCCTGCGTTATCGACGTCCGTTCACGTTATGAAAGAAAGAACTGATACGTAGCTATTGTGCTTTACATTCAATGAACACATACGATGAATTCAATTCCGCTTGCTTAGTGGCAGTCTGACGAATAATAATAATAATAAAATAATTACCTTTGCTTTTAGCCATTCAGTAGTGTCTAAAGGTAATGCGGCACGAGGAACCTACCAATCCAATTCTGACCGAGTAACTCGCTTTTCATTCCTCAGAGGTTGTAAAATGAGTACCTCATAAGAAGAATAATACCCCAGGGCTTCTGTGTAGATGTAAAGTTTGCCAAAAAACAATCGTGACATTCCTGAATGAGGCGTAACATCGCGCCATAAATTTCATAAAAAAGACGATACGAGCATTGCGAACTTTTGGGGAAACGACACTGATTCGAATATCAAATTATGAAGAACACTAAACAGAGTTTTGCTACTGAATAGCTTCCTCAGTTGAAGTCATTGAAGCAACCACGCGGTTTGGGAAACGTTTTTGAGTGATGTCATAAACCATCCATTGCATGAACAGGTTCTGAAAGTGGTGTTGGAACATTCTGGAACCAGAAGATTAGTAAATACCATCCATACACATAGAGGACTGTACAGCAGACCACTTATGCCCTTCATTTCCATTACTATGAGGATCGAATGAGCTAAAACAAATGATTGAACAAAGCCTCACACCACAACGTTCAAATCGATGACATCTTTCTGTTTGTTTTTTATATTACTTGTTGTTCGACATTGCCATTTAAATCATTGGCATTAAAATACAACTTTTTGGCGGATAGAATCCAATCTAATCGTATCCAACTCCACTCGAGTGTGAGGAAGGTACTAAATGGGTATGCTCGGCTCCAGCGACAAGACGAACCTCAACGAAGATCAGAAAATGCGACTGAATCAATTCTTATCGAATTGTAGTGAAATAAGAGATTACGTGTAAAATGGGCGTAGCATGACCATGTTATAAAGTTCGTTATGGGCAAATAACACTATGTTAATGTTTAACTGTACCGCAAAGCATCTGGCTGTGCTCCTTGTGACCTTATGATGATGAACAATATCAGTGCTGCTTGAAATGTCGGGACACGTGGCAAGGCAAGTTAGCCAAAAGGTCAGCTTCGAAAGAGGAGGAATTAGTTTTAAATAAAGAAAGGAAAACCAAATTTGTGTTAGACGCAAATTTCATAAACTAAGAACCAAATTTGTCCACCGTTGCTTCGTTGCGACCAGCCGAGAATCGGGCAGTCAGCCGTAGACTTGAGAACAACGGGGGGGAAGCAGGGTGTGTGTTCTGTTGTAGTGATGCCAGAACGAGCGAGTGATATGATTATGATGTCTGATATGGGCTCTTCTTGGAGCTGCTCCACTGTTCCTCG